TCCTGTAACCTAGATCCCCAGCCCTAATGAGGGGTGCTGACACACTGTTCCCGCCGCCCCACGTGACCCCATAACGGCCCCAACCGCCCCATGGCACCCAGCTCCCCGCCCCAGCCTGTAGCATTGCCAGTCTGCCCGGCGCTGTACAGGAGTAGCCTCCGCCGAGCATCCTACCAACAGTTCTCTGCCCAAAGCTCCTCTCCTGTAACCTAGATCCCCAGCCCTAATGAGGGGTGCTGACACACTTGACATTACATCACAATCTACATGACATCTGATTTAGAAAACACCGGACATTTCTATTTTCTCAGTTACGTTTTCTCAATTTGTTTCCCAAACAGAAAGTTCAAGTACTGGACTGTTGGGTTCAGAACTGGACACTTGGCAATCGTACTCCTAAGCGAGAACTCTCATAATTTCCTCTTCCCCCCCAAAATGTTCCAATGTTGGCATTGCTACTCCAAACTAGAAGCCCATAACTATGGCTCTTTAAACCACCCTCTCGTCTAGAACTCCCAAAGGTTATGTCTACACTGGGGGGTTCTTGTGCAAGAACACGTCCACACTGCCATGTGCTTTTGTGCAAGAGCATCCGTGGTAGTGGGGACGCTCTCTTGCAAAAGAAAGCTCTGATGGCCATGTTAGCCATAGGGCTTTCTTGTGCAAGAAACCCCTGCCGCGCATCCACACTGTTCTCTTGCGCAAGAGCGCTTACACTTGTTAGAAAAGAGTGCAGCTCTTGCGCAAGAAGCTCTCTCTTCCCATGCTTTATTGTAAATCTTCTTGTGCAAGAGTGGGCGGGTTGTGTAGACAGTCTGCGGAATAACAGCCATTCTTGCGCAAGAACCCACCAGGGTAGAAGTAGCCAGGGTGTTCTCAGCCCACAACTCCCACCCCAAACTAGAATCCCTGAAACTTCCTCCTCCCCAGAGCATCCCATCCCAGAACCTTCCTCCTGTAACCTAGTATCCTCCTAACTACCACCCAAAACATTCCCAAGCCCCCATCCTAACACAGAACCCCCTATAGCTGCTTCTAGAGTCCTGTGGGGATACAAAAATAAGTGTCTGCATCTGATTTTCAATCCACCAAAGCTGTCCCTGGATATCTCTGGACTTGCAGGCCTCTCTGTGACTTCTGCCAAGGGGTGAGGTGTGGCTGGGAGCCACACCTGTCCATGCTAAGAGCCAGGTGGGCAGCTACAAGGAGCTGTAGTGGACCATCCACCTATCTTGGACAGGGAACTCTACAGCTCTGCTCATCTCCCGGGCCACGCCAGTGTGGAGTGTAACTGGGGAACCATAGCAGACCCTCCACTTGCCTAAGGAGAGGAGGGGATGGAGAGTAGCTGCCAGCTGTGTCCCTGTCCCCTAGAATCCCCTTCCAGGCAGATGGGGAGGGTCTATATTATGGTTCCTCATAGCTGCCTGCTCTCTTTTTTCAGATTCCTGCACATATTCACAAAATGTGTATCTGCATCAATGTTGCTGTCTGCAAAAATGATCCATAGATATAAAACAAGTACCCCCAAATTTGCAGAGCTCTAACTACTTCCTCTGTAAAGCATTTCACGCCCCCCCCTTCAATCACCATGCTGATGACAAGTACTGTTGTGTAGCTAACTCTTCTCTCCCAAGCTGCCCCCCATTACAATATGCTGTCCCACATCAGTACACCCCTAGAGGAGTGTTTACACAAAGTTTTATCCTTTTTTTTTTTTTTTTTTTTTTGTTCTTGTTCAGAATTAAATACAGGGAAAATGACTTGTTTCAGTTATTTATTAATAATTACTACTTATATTAAAACTGCAATAGGTTATTCATTTGGGGGGCACTTCTGTTAACCAGATGAAAGATTTAGAGACCCTACTGCAAATTAAAACTTTCAGGGACTTGATTCCATTCCACATGAATGATTTGTCTCTTCTCAGAGAAGGATTCAATTATAATAGATACAGTGGGAAGAAGAAGTTTGTGTAATAGTAATTAGGGATGTGAAGATTTAATCAGGTGAGGCTTACCAGTTAAAGATTAATGTGGGCAAGGGGCTGCTGCAGGGACAGGATGCTGAAACAGCCTCTGTCCATGGCAGGCCAGGACTCCACACAGGCAGGGGCTCTTCTGACCAGGATGCCAGAGCATCCTCTGCCTGCAGTGGTGGGTGGGGAGAGGCATTCCAGCTGGGCTAGAGTGCCCCCCCCCCACTCATTTTCCTTTAATTGTTTAATCATTTAAACAATATGGCTATGTCTACAGTGGGAGGTTGTTGTGCCAGAGATATGCGAATGAGGCGAAGTGTGGAATATCGCTGAGCCTCATTTGCATACCTAATGAGCCGCCATTTTTGCGGAAGAGGCTCTTGTGCTAGAAGGAGCTGTCTCCACTGCCCCTTCTTGTGCAAGAAAAACCCTCTTGCGCAATGCCGTTATTCCTGAAAATAATCAGCGTAGCGGCATTGCGCAAGAGGGTTTTTCTTGCGCAAGAAGGGGCAGTGTACACGCTCCTTCTAGCGTAAGAGCCTCTTCTGCAAAAATGGCAGTTCATTAGATATGCAAATGAGGCTCGATGATATTCCACGCTTAGCCTCATTTGCATATCTCTGGCGCAACAACCCGCCACTGTAGACGTAGCCTAAGTGTAACCAGTTAGCCAGTTAACAGGATTTTACATCCCTAGTAGTAATGCTGAAGATGACCACTTATGGGGAGGAGAGGAAAAAATAGTTTGCAGCAAAATGGCCAATGTATTTTTGAGCTGTATAGATAGACATTACATCATGGAATGAGTGTGATAGTAAAATACCATCTGATGCTTACATAGCACTTTACAAAGGAAGTCAGTATCATTACCGATTTTATTAATGAGGAAATGGATGTATAGAAAGGTGAAATGGCATGCCCAAAATCATCTGAGGAAGTGGGTCTGGCCCACGAAAGCTCATCATCTAATAAACCATCTTGTTAGTCTTTAAAGTGCTACATTGTCCTGCATATTGCTTCAAAATCATCCAGAAAGTCAGGAGTACCCAGATCTCCTGAGTGCAGGCTCCCTAGCTATTTTCTGTATTTTTTTAAAAAAATTACACCTCTAACTGAAACAGTTATACCACCCAACTTTCAAGAGTAGTCTAGGTGTAAGGATGGAGAAGAATTGGCATGGCACAAGGGATACTAAGGAGTGCTTGTCATCAGCATGGTGATAGAAGAGGGTGTGGAATGCTTTACAGTAGGAATTTTAAATATCGAGTAATTGACTAATCAAATAGTCGATAGGGCGCCTCCGCCTTTAGAGTGTAGCAACATCCCTAGGGCTTCGAAGATGAATAGGGTTACCAGGTGTCCGGTTTTGAACTGGGCAGTCCAGTATTTGAGCTTTCTGTTTGGGAAACAAATTGACAAAATATAAAATGAGAAAATATGTCCGGTATTTTCTAAATAAGATGTAATATAGACTGTGGTGTACTGTCAAGTGTGTCCGATATTTTTGTTAAAACCATCTGGCAACCCTAAAGACGAAAGCCCCGCATGAAGCCTAGGGTCAGCTGGGGTCTCTAGCGCTTACCCTGGGGTTCCATGTGGCACTGCCACTTTGAAGCACCGCGGGGAGCCTGACACTGGGCTCCCCACAACGTTTCAAAGCAACAGGGTTCCGTGGAGCCTGGGGTCTGGCCCCAGCTCCATGTGGAGCTGCTGCTTTGAAGTACTCCCACCTCTTCCCTCCGTCCTTGCTGCTGCTTTCTGATGCATTTGCTTATTGGTTAGTCGACTAATCTTTCACATCCCTAATTTACAGAGGAAGTAGTTAGCAAGGAATAATGGGATGAGATTTTTTAAATGGGTAATGGTTGTTTTTAAGGCTGGGTAATATTCTTTTCATATAAGTGAGAAAAACTGCTAGTCCTGGCAACACTGCTATTGGGAGCAATCCTGCACTTGCAGTGAGATGGTCTAATAGGTATTTTCCATCTTTGACTTCTTTTTGTGATAACTGGATTGAGACTTTCCAAAGTGTGTGAAGAAAAGTTTCCATAACTTGTGTATTTTCTGAGAAAATTGGGACACATTATTATCATCATCATCATCCTGACTTGCTGAACCATAGTAAATTAAGTTTTAAATGTGTAGGATTTCAACCTCAAGCATTATTCATTTTATTGAATAATTACCATACCTAGTAAATTTGAATCAGAAACTCTGAATTAGTGAAGAAAATTAACTGGTGTTGGTCAAAATAAATATCAAACTATAACAAAATAAAAAATTACATTGAAATAAGTCTCTTGGTGCATAAAAATCTTTAGACAATGATATCAAACAATCAATTCCTATTCTTTATGATATTCATCATGCAAAATACCTTTTTCGATGTTCATATTTGTTTTATTGTTTACCTCAAGAATGGAAGTCTTATTAAATAAAGCTTCCATTACTCTTTCTGTAACTAATTTGAATTACTTTGTGGTTTGTAACAGTAAAAATTTTCTTTGCACTAAAATGAGTTGAATAGGTGATTTGGTTTTAATTTTGTTAGCAAATAGTTTTATGAACTGTAATCAATGATCATAATAATCATGTATTTCTGATGAACAACAAAAATAATTATTTAAACCTTTCACCCAGCATATTGGTGTGTAAAAAGTTGTGCATTTCAGCTAATTTAAGTGTCAAGACTGTTTATGAAAAATTTTGGTATCTGTAGGTAATCACAAAGTATGACTTTATTTTGAACAAACAAATCCACAAACAAGCTCTTCAAAATATATAGTATATTGCAAAACTAGTTTCATGTTGGTGCCCCTCCCAGGGTCAGATCCAGTTCTTTAGAGTTAATTGAGAGCTTTAACAACTTACAGTATTTGAAATATGAAGTACAATCTGAAATAATAAAATATTGTTTAAACCATGCTTAAAATAAATTTCATTACAACAAAATTGTCATACAAATTTCTCCTGTGGTACTCATTGCTTGACCTTGGATTAAAAGTTATATTTGTGTATTTTTCAGAACAGCCATTGTATCCTAAAGAATGCAGTCTGCTTGGCAGAGATACGGAGTTTGTTCCTCATGTCTGAAAAGGCAGCTAAATGATTTAATTAAATGGCAAAGGAGATTGGTTCCAGGATGCATCAGATCTATTTACAGTGAGACGGGCAAGTGGGAAAGAAACTATGGATTAGAAACAAGAAAGAAAATTGAGAAGTGGTGGCTTCCGAGAATGAAGGAACAGTTTTGCAAAACATCAGAAATAGATGTAAGCTTTTTGAGAAACTTGAAAAATTCAGATTTAATTTTTTTTTTAAAGTGAAATGTTTTTGAAGCGTCCATCTGGAGTATTTTAATGTAGATGTTTTAAATAGTGTTTTCCCCACATGTAATCTACTTGGCAAAATATATATCTTGTAATGGACTATTTGAAAAAGTTATAGTAAGAAAAGTGAATAAGGACACAATATGGTTAATGACATAAAGAATTTTTAAATATATGGCTCCCATTTAATAGTTTTCTTCAAACAAAATATTTACTGGCAGTAAAACCAACATATTTTGTTTGTTTTTTAAAAATACTACTTTCATGCTAGGAGTAATAAAAAAAAATCCTGAGTTGGGGTGCAGTGGAAGCAATAGGACACCAACAGAGAAATGCAAATAGACCATTCTTGAAAGAAAACTATAATAAAGAAAAATAAGACGTCTTAAAAGGGCCAGCAATTAGAAAGACATTGAGAACAAAGCTTTCCTGGTTATGGACAAGAAAATGAGACAACTGTGAGTTGTGCAACAAATGTGAGTCGTGCAACAAATTCCCCAAATTATTAATAAATAGGTATTTAGATGTTTGAATTTATCTAAATATATGCAGATGTCTTTCTAGATTTTTATGAACTTAAACTAAGTTGTCATCATTTCTAGGATTAGTTTTACATAAGAGGAGCAAGTAATGTTTGTGAAGCAGTAAAACTAATGAGAATAGAAGGTGATTGCCAGCAGAGAGTCATGTAGAATCAATTTGTACAATGACAAAAAATAACTTTTTTTTTTTTTTTGGAGGGGAAAGTTCTCTGTACCACAAAGGTGCCAGTAAACTGAAGGGAAATTACAGAAAAGCAACAAAAGTAATTACAGTGCTTGCAGAACTCATATGAGGAAAGATTAAAAACTAAGGTTCAATTCCATAATCCAGTAACATGAGTGCAGGAGTCCTCCCACACAAACTGGATTTCCTTTGACTTTCATTGACTTTAGAGGTACAGGAGCTCACCCATGGTGATTGGATTTCTACATTAGGACTTAAATATGTATATTTGGTAAAATGATTATTAAGGCCCTGATTCTTGTAATTCCTACAACATGTGCTTAATTTTATATACACAAGTAGTTTTGTTAATTTCACAGGGACTACTTGCATATATAAACCTGTGTGTATACGCATATGTAAGAGTTGCTGGTTTGGGGTTGAAAGTGACTATGCTAACTGAATGCAACTGTTAGAAGACTGTAAACACTATAGCTACGTCTATGCTGCAGGCATCTTGTGCAAGAACTGTTTTGCACAAGAGTTCTTGCACAAGAGTGCATCCGCACTGCTATGTGCTTTTGTGCAAGAGATGTGCTTTTGTGCAAGAGCATCCATGACAGTGTGGACGCTCTCTTGCGCAAGAAAGCTCTGATGGCCATTTTAGTCTGTCGCCTGTCCGCACTGCTCTTGCACAAGAGGGCTTATTCCTCATGGGAAGAGGAATAACTCTTGTGCGAGAAGCCCTCTTTTCTCATGCTTTACTGTAAATTTACTGTAAAAACGCACGTTCAGTGTAGACGCTCCAAGTTTTTGCACAAGAATGGTCATTCTTGCACAAAAAGCCTGCAGTGTAGAAGTAGCCTAAGATTATGCTTAAAACACCAGAATAGTGCTTTAGTGTAGACACTTGCTGCAGTGAAAAGAGCGATTCTAATGTTTGCTGTAGTTAACCCACATCTCTGCGAGACCGTAGCTAGATCGACAGAAGAATTGTCAACCTAGTGCTGTCTACATTGACGGTTAGATTAGCATATTTGTGTGTCTAAGGGGTGTGGATTTTTCCCACCACTAAGAGATGTAGCTATATTGATACAAGTTTTTAGTGTAGAAAAACAGAAAGGAATTGCTAGTACAAGATAAAATCAACCGAGTTATATTTTAGGCTGACTGAGAGACGTTTTCTTAAAAGAGGTATCTATTTTGCTGTGACAATCTCCCAAAGGAAAGGACAGATATTTCCATTGTTAGAGGGGTTTTTTTAATTGGGGAGTACAAAGCACTCAAAAATACTATAAAAGTTAATCCTAGATCGAGAAGAGAGATTTAGGTAATACAAATCTATGATCCTAATTTCCATAGTTCTGTGATTGGGTAATACTTAATCATCTCACCCGCAAGGGAGCCATTTCTAAAGTAAATCATTTTCCTCTGAACACTTCAAAAAATGAAGAAAAAGCCTTTGAGATTGTAAACTTTGAAAGAAATCAGTTTTCCCAGGGCGGTTTGGCTTCACTGACCAACTGCAAAAATATATTGTCCCACTAGTGTGACATGTTAAATTTACATTTAGGGAAGCTTGTTTCTCAGAGTTTTTCTGTAATTGAAAGCATCCTAGGAACATTGATTGTCTTTAGAAAAATCCTCCCCACACTGCAAAGATCTTTGATAAACAATTTTAATATATATTCTGTCTCTAATACAATTCTGTTTCTTTTTCACTCTTATCTATGTTCAATCACATAGCTGTAAAATCTCATTCTTCCTTCTCATTTGCTTCTTTTCTCCCCATACCTGCCCTCCCTTAGACAGAAAACAGAAGTCATTAAATTGTCACAAAGATAGAAAGATGACCAGACTTGCATGGAGAAGAAAAATAAAATGAGAATTGTATGTGTATTCCAAGGGAAGCATTGATTTAAATGCATACTTTTTAATACCAGACAGCAATCTAGAAAGCATTCATAAATATGCAAAACTCATAGGATTATTTTTTAATATTTGTTCTATTCCTGGTATTAATGTGACATTTAATAAAATCCAGGGTTAAGGTGCTAGTTGTCTGTAATATCCCAGTAAACCATTTCAATTCCTTTCATTTTGCAGTTTACTGGAGAAACAAAAGGGAAAATCTGAAGGGCCAAATATTTTTGGAAGAATGTTTATTAAATAGGAATACAGAGTAATAATCATTGTACAATAGAACCTCAGTGTTACGAACACCAGAGTTAGAAATTGACTAGTCAACCACACATCTCATTTGGAACTGAAGTATACAGTTAGCAGCAGAGACTGGGGGGAAGAGAAGGGGCAGAGAGGGAGCAAATACAGGGTGAATTGCAGCCAAGGGGAGCCACAGAAATCAGCACAGACCAGGCTGTTGCTTTCCATGGTTCCCCTTGGCTGCAAACGGTGAACAGAAGTCAATGGAAGCCACAAGGCTCTGTGGCTGCGGAGCTTTTAGATAAACAAAGTGGACCAGCCCATTTAGCAGCTTTTTTCATACTGTGACTATAGCCCACTTTGAGAGAAACTGCCTAGATAAATCTGTCTTATGCTATAGTACTTCTGTTTCTCTAGGTTTGTATTTTTACAAAACCTAAAATCTGGGGCAATTTTGACCACACCTTCTTAAAATATAGCACAAATTACAGTTTTAAATTAACAGTCATTTCTGTTTTCCTTTGTTATGTAAAATAATCTTCTTGTAAAAATAGGTGTATGCAAAACCCCCATGAATGTTTGCATTTAACTTCTGAGCTAAAACACTAGGTTCCAAATTCTCTATTCATGTAAATTGGTACAAAGCAATTGACTTTTAGAGCATTGCCGGTTTATACCACTAGGGAATTTATCTCAAATGTTTTTTATTCAAACCATATTTTTGCCTTTGTGTAACATTACTTTGTTTTCATACTGTTGCGTATAAAGTGCTGACTGATTTTTTTTTTCCCCCAAAAATTAAATGCTAGCTTACTTGGATTTAATTTTTTTAATTCTTCCTAGAAATCAAGACCAAAGTTTTATGTGCTTTCAATGTTCCCATACCCTTCTGGAAAGCTTCACATGGGCCATGTTCGTGTCTATACCATCAGTGACACAATAGCACGGTTCCAGAAAATGAGAGGGATGCAGGTAAGGAAAGAACCTTATAGCTATGAATGTTATTAATAACTGAATAAAACATTATGGCTTCTTTCAAAAGTTTACGACTGAATATTGACTTAGTAAAGTTTTGAAGCTTTACTAGGCAGAAGAAAAATGCTGTTTTGACCATCTCTCAATTTAAATATTTAAATGAGACTGGCACAGAAACAGCTCCCTTACCTTGTCAGACCTTTTTAATAAACTTTCCCTTTATTTCTTTAGTAATTTCTTATATTTGCTCTGTGTGGGGGGTTTTTTGTTTGTTTGTTTGTTTTATCTTGTCTTGTCTCTGCTGTTTGATTCCATATATCTGGTTCCAAATGAAGTCTGTCCTTGACTGGTTGGTTCATAACTCCAAGGTTCAATTGTAAGTCATTGGTTCAGGAGTATATTTATACATGTACGGCAAGCCCTGTACAATTCTTAGAAATACCCAAAATTCCAGGCCCAGAAAACATTACTGTGGCTGAATGTTAAAGGGCTCTTTCGATGCCTCTGTTAACTTCATAGCTTCACACTGGGCTTTATAAATGTCCCTTGTATCTGGCCGTTCATCCTCAGGCTAAAGCTTCCCATCTTTGCTCTCCATTCTTGTGGCAACTTGTGTCCCTTTGCAGGTATTGTGCAGGATGCAACAGAAAGCTATAATCCTCACTGAGGTCCAGTCTATGGATGTAGATTAATTAACTAATCGAATAGTTGATGGGTTTTTTTTAACTATTTGATTAGTCGATAAGGACTTCTTCCCCCTTTGAACTGTAGCAGGAGCCCTGCAGAATCACAGCAGAATCAGTGCGAGCAGAGACTGCTTCAGTCTGCATTTGTGCCATTTCCTGCTGTGACTCTACCTCCTCTGCCCTCCCTGGAGACGGTGCTGGAGGGAACTGACTTTTAATTCAGCTTCCCCCAAAACCGGCTCCTGCTTCCTTCCCCCTCCCCCCTTACTGCCTCTGTCTGATAGAGGCAGCAAGAGAGTGGGAGAAGGGACTAGTCACATCACTAGTCAGCTATCCGATAAGGTTTTGCTTATCAGTCAACTAGTCACTTACATCCCTAGTCCAGTCTAGTGAGTAAATGCCACCACAGTCTCTTTGATCTACCAAAAACATATTCAGCAATTATTCTGTACCTGCTGAGCTGGTAGTTGAATTTGAGCTTTCTAGTGGCTGGTATGACTCCATCAGCAAAGGAACATGGGGTAGGTGTGGTCACTATTGGCATTTCAGTATTGCCAATGGTAATCCCCCATCTTGGAAAGAATGTCTGATTGTAGGTCTCTGAAGAGTCCTGAGTTCTTAAGAATGTGATTATCATGCATCTTCTTTGACCAGCCACATCGATGGCAGAGAAGTGTGTTCCCCTTGATCCGCCAGTGCTTGCAAAACCATAAAAAAATAGCCTTTTTCTGTTATGGTATGCCTATACGGCTGTGTTGTTTCAGAATAATTTACATTATTCCGAAATAACATTGTCTGCATCTACACCACAAGCAGTTATTTCGAAATAATGTCGAGCTGGAGGACTGCTTACTCCAACTCTTGTAAACCTCCATTTTATGAGGAGTAAGGGAAGTCAGAGGAAGAGTGCTCTTCCTCAGACTTCCTGCTGTATAGACAGCATCATAAGCTGAAATAAACTATTTCGACTTAAGCTGTGCTATTGACGTAGCTGAAGTTGCTTAGCTTTTTTTTACTTTAGTCCTGCTGCATAGACGTGCCCTTAATGTATTCTCTGTCAAAGTGGGCTGGTGTCAAAATAGGGATATGCATGCTGTCGCAATGCAGTCTGGGATACCATTGCTACAAATCCATGCACTGTGCCCTGCACGTTGCTGAGTGTCAGTCTTTTTGTAGCAGGAAATGATTCATGACTTGACTTAATAGTCCCCACGTAGATTTTCAAACTCCAAAATTATTTGCTGCTGGTCAGTGGGAATCTGGAATTGTAACTTTTCATAGTGTAATCACTAGTTGCTTCTCCACTGTCAATGCAACTCTCATCTGGTGGTGTTCTGCTGGGAAGCGGGAATAAGCTCATTACACAGACACAGGAATGAGGCCTTTTACATCTGAAAGTTCTTCAGCCAGTGTTCTTTGTCCCAGGCCTGCATTATGATGTGATCTGAGCAGTCAGTGCCATTTCTCAGACCCAGAAGCAGCGCTCCATCACTACAACTGATCCATAAATACAACCAACAATTTTGAATCTTTTACATTCTATCCCTTAGCAAATTGTGCTAGAAAAAACTGCCAAAGTCCCCCAGTGTTGTTGTACTTCCTCTGGGTCTGCCAAGACAAAAGAATCACGTGTTTTCTATGTGCAGTGTTCATGAGAATAGTTATTATTTACTTACGGTATATTGCATTTTCCATTAAGAGTAGTACTAGTGAGTATACACAACACTGATGCAAGAAGCCAACTATGCACATGCCCGAGAAATATACAAATTTTGGTGGTAGAAGATGAAGTTAAATTGCATCCACCAAAGTTTGTGGCTATCTCATTTTCATTCCAAAAGTTGGTCTTTATTTCTGAGGTTGCCTCACTTTCATTATCTGAGGAGTTCTGAAAGAATTTTCTCCCAACCAGTTTTTATCTGATGAAGTTTCAGACCTCGTACTTCATATTCTTTTTTTCTTTCATGTGAAAAAAGACTGTGAAGTGTATTAGAAGCAGTGGTTGCAGAACACTGAATTTCCTAGGGAGCTATAAATAGGCATATCTTTGCCTTTGTTAACCTGCTTGAACATCTGTTTATGACTAATGATGATCAGCCAAAGAATTCAATCTTCAGATACCATAACAGACATAAAAGGTCTCTTCCGTGATTTTCATTGTGTGTCAAACTCAGAGCTGTTAGGTCATGATGAATTTTTGCATGAAAAGAAATGTTCTGGAGCCTTTTTGAAGTTACGAGCTTTACTAATTCCTACAATGTAGGAATCACTGTCATCACTCTTGAATTTCTCCTTTATATAGATTAATTTCTGAATCCTTGTCTGTATTTTCAAGAAACAGTCTCTGTTTCTAATCTTTTACAGGTTTGCTATATGTGATGATTACAACAGACAAGGGATTCAGAGTTTCCATTTGAAAACCAAGAGAAATTAATTAATTTCCTTACATGATGGGATTTTATTAAATATGCAGTACAGGTTGTGAACCACTCTAATACAGCACTCTCTGGTCCGGCAACATCCATGGTCTGACATGATTTTAGTTAGCCAGATGTCTACTTGTCATGGGTGTGGCCAAGTTTCCCATGGTCCCATAAATTTTGTTTACAGCCACCAGTCCTGGCTCTTGGTGTTCTGTGCCGTTATATCATAGAATCATAGAGTTGGAAGAGACCTCAGGAGGTCGAGTCCAACCCCCTGCCCAAAGGAGGACAAACCCTAGCAAGATATTTAGCTCTAATTTTCCCCTGAATGTCTCTAAGAGCCCAGTAAACAGTGAAAGTGTTGATGTTGTTGCTGGATAATATTGACTTCCCATGGATCCGCAAATTCTCTGCTTCAGCACCAGAGAGGTTCAACCTGTAAATGCATGACAATTTTAAAAAAATAACAAACCAAAATGTATTTTTGAAACATGAATTGGAGAGTTTTTTTTTTTATTTTATTTTATTTTATACAGCAAAAAAGCAAATTTGAATTTTGCCAGGCTATAAGTTCTTACATCTCTTCCCAATAGAAATTATTAACTTTTGTATTATGGCACATTTTATTTTGAAATGTTTTTCTGGGTGAAAATATTAAAGTTAGAGAACAATGCCATTTATATTTGCTTGCTTTCCTCAAGAAATGGATATAGTAGAAAAGATAATCTTTTTTTAACATTTTCACATTTAAGGTTTCTGCATGAAGATGAAGAACTATTCTTCTGTCTGATCTAGGTCCATTAGCACTAACATAGAATACAAATGAAGTCTATTTTATGTCACCTGAGCATCTGGCCCATGATCCATTGGGAATGACTCCACTTAATCTTCTGACAGAACTGTGGTTATATGTAAACCTAAAGTCCTGTCTGGCTCCTGGGTTAGGTTGTTGAATAAAAGGTTTCTAATGTTGAATAAAAGGTTTCTAATGTAACATTCATTATAGGACAAATAGTTTACATTTTAATTACTGAAGACAAGTATTTTACTGTTAACACTACAGATTATACTGTTTTTAAAAAATGTGACCTTAAAGTAATAATCTTATTTCTCAGATACAAATACTGTTAAAATAGATCTTCAGATATATAGTATTAATTACAAATCTTGTTACAAAACTTATTTTTCAAAAGTGCTATGGAGAAATCAATGTGTAGATTTTAATTTACAAGAAAAGTATTCCCTAAATCAACTAGCTTCAAACAGAAATAAATGTTAATTTATACTTTATTTCTTAATGAATTTATACTTACTCTTCTGTAAATTCAATGAGAGATGATTTGGACCAACCTATCACATTTTCTTTTCAGTATTTAAAAAAAAATCTTTATTTTGAGGGCATTGTGGACTTTATAAATCTTGAAAAATGTCAGAAATATTTTTAAAGTCATCCAGCTTGCCTCCATTTGAGGCAAAAAATTCTACCATAAATGTTGTTATCAAGATGATTTAAATCTTGATTTAATTCACCAGGTGAATAAATAGTTGATTTTAATACACTTTTGCATATGTACTACTTTATTTTCCAAAGACGGGTGCATTCTCATTCATTGATAGAGCCATTAAAACATGTTTCTTTACAACTAAATAGAGCCTTTACACTGCATTTGGTATATCTTTTTGCTACCTAGGAGGATGCACTGTAACGACATACATTTATTTAAGCAATTATATAACTTCATATTTTCAGATTTATTATACATTTTACTGTGTTAGAAGGTGAATTAAGTATTGCTTATTTTACTAGATAATTAACTTTTTGTTCATAATTTGTCTCAAGCTGTATTATATGTTAACTGGACTTTAAACCCACAAAACAGCATGTCAC